AAACCTTCCAATCACCGCTTTGGTGAGATCAACATATTATAGGTTGACATCACATTTCGCAACAAGAGACGAGAGATATAGTGCAGTGTTAACATCTGTTCAGGTATTCAATGAAAGCATTATGAAATTGATGAAAGAGGATACTATCAGAGCCAACACACATGCAGTTAGAGTCTTTGATCGTCATAAGAAAACGTTAAGTGTACAAGAAACAATGAACCATAATGAGGGGAGGCCCAATTTATCCTATGTCGTCAGACTAAATAGATGTTGGTGTGACTGTGGCAAGTACCATACCTTCGGTGTACCTTGCTCCTATGTCATTGCGGCACGTGCACATGCTCGTCAGAATGCTTATGGCTACCTATCTGATGTCTACAAGGCAATTAATGTTATGAACATATACAACGAAGGCTTCGCAGTGCTACCAATGGAGGATTATTGGCCTCCATACCAAGGTGACATAGTTTGGCACAACGATGACATGAGAAGAAAGAAAAATGGACGCCCAAACAGTAAGCGTATAAGAACCGAAATAGATATGGCTGATAAAATGATAAGATTGTGCAGTATATGTCGTCAGCTCCGACACAACCGAAAAAATATCCTAATGTTGGAGGCACATCTGCATCATGATTTAGCTTATCGTTTCATTTATTGTAACCACATATTTTCATATATTGATGAGTCTTTGTTACAACGGTCTTAACAACAAATAAGACTAACAACACACAACACATACTAATTTCATAAAACATAAAATATTAGCTAGGTGATTACGACATTCCTAACTAATTACAACAATCAAACTAATTTCATTCGGTCCAAACATGACTTCCCTTGCATCTTTGTAGGTCTTAACACGAACCCATCCACGCAGCCGATCAAGTCTCTCGATACTATGAATCTTTTCCCCTTCACCAATGTCTCCTTTCAACCACCGATTAAGATCCCTCTTAAGTTGATTGAAACTTTGCATGTTACAAAACAACATGTCCATCAGAGGTTTCTCTCTCGAATAGACGACTTTTCCCCACTGGAAACGATACATGTTATTAGCAAAACAAATATATTAGATGAAATGTGAAAGTAAATGATCAGAACACCTCTATTTATAGAAAAAAAATTTCAAAATACAAGGGGTCTCCAGATGAATTGGCGACACCCTTGTAAGTACAACACCCAGTCGCCAATTGAATTGGAGGCTGCATGAGGAGTCTCTAGACCAATTGGCGACTCCTTTATAGCCTTAACAAGGTGTCGCCAATTCATCTAGCACCCTTGTGTAATCCCAAACCCTAACTGGGGTACTTTGGGAATAATTTTGAAATGTGGGTTATTTTGGGAATTTTTTTTCCAAAAACCGGGTTACGAGTAGGGATGCTCATGGTTGGTTTATTCAAATAACCAATCCATATTCAAAACAAAACCATTTATTTTAACCGGTTATTATAACCAATTCATATAACTGGTTTTGTTTTTATAAAACCGGTTATAAACCGTTTATATCCATAACCAAATTTTATAACCAGTTATATATTTTATATCCGGTTTTAGAGTTCATATCTGGTTTTCAACTTAAAACCGGATTTGGATATAAAAATCCAGTTTTTAAAACTGGACATTTATGTTTTAACAACTGGTTTTTCAGCTAAAATCAGTTTTTGACTTAAAAAATCCAATTTTTATAAATGAATTAAAAAAAATAGAAATGAATTGGTCAAAACTTTCAAGTCTCAACAGCTTCGAGAGAATAATTGAACATGAAATGAATTTAAGATGACAAAAACTAGAAGTAGTACAATGATTATTTCTTTGTATAATTACAAAATATGTCTTACAATTACACATTAAGGAAAAGAAACATCCTAATCAAAAGAAGTAGAATCAGAAGAAGAGGTTGAAGAAGAACCAAAACGAAAATTCCTACTTCTCAGATCTTCAAAACTCATACCATTTCGTGATAGAAACCGCTTCGTCGCTCTCGTCAGCACAACGGCGTACTCTTCTAATATCTCCGACATTATCCTAAAAACCAATGTCATTCCTGATGATCCTCCACATACATAAATATTCATACAATAGTGAGAATCACATGAAGCATAGCCAACTCAAAATCATCTAACATTTTGATTAAAAAGTTCTGAAAACGGAAAAACACTGCAAAGTTCTGAATGGTAGCTTGCCAAGTTTCTAAAAGGTGGTAGCTTTAAAAAACACTACATTAATCTGGACAGAAGCTTATTCACACAAACTGATACCATATCTCTTCTACCACACAAAATATTAAATTTGCTCACAATTTCATATAAGTCATCAAACTGTTTAGCCAGTTTATACAAATCACCAATCACAATAGCTATAGTACTTTATTGTGAAGCATACACCAATCACAATAGCCTCATTTATCAACTTAACTCTTTCTTTAATCCAAACCACTCTCAATTTCAGCTGCAATTTATCCATACTATGGTACATTCTTCTACAATACCAGTAGCATATAAAGCAATAAAAAAAAGCTCATTTTTAACATTTATTTAGTATACATTCTTATTATAATATTGAAGTAAAAGAGGTAACTATACATTAAATTCTTTTTTTTGTAAAACTATGGTTGCTAGCTTCTACCAAACGTAACTGAACCTAGTCTTTCTAAACACTTTATTACTAATCATTTACAAGAAAATCAAATGAACACATTCTGTTTGCCGATGCTAAAGAAGATTTACATCTCACAATATTTGATTTCATGATAACGCAGGGTCTTAGGATTTTAAAAGCTGCATTAACAACAACTTCTGCTTTGACAAACGGTTTCTGCCTTTCCGTAATTGAGCAGTTCTTTCATGAACAAAAGTCTCAATCTATCGATAAGAGCTGATATGGCAAGTACAGTGACTTATTAAAATTTTTGGATGCTTCACAATAAAGTACTATAGCTATTGTGATTGGTGTATGAAATTGTGAGCAATTGATGACTTGTTGAGAACAGTTTGATCAAATATTTTCATAATATAGTACTTTAAACTTTTAGCTAGTTTATGCAAATCAACAAAAAACGAAATCAAAGTCAGTAACCATTGACATTAGTCATGTGACAGAGCCATCCAAGTGGGCATGTGACAGATTATACCTATGTTAGTCTTAGTTTCCATAGTTAATAGCAAACAATATTAATTAAATTCTATGTTGATGCAATCACCAATAATCAATAATTCCATATATACCTGGCAATTAAAGCTGCAAGAAAGTACCTGACAGTTAGAAGTCTCCTTTATCTTCAATCCTCATCAAAAGTATCATAAGAATTACCTCCGTTGGATTGGTTTTGCAAAAAATATTCTGAAAAATAAGGTAGAAGTCTTTAAAAAAAATTATATGAAAAAAATACCATCTTTAATCAAACTTTTTCAATTTATTATTAAATTTAACTTTACCTCACTCAATCTTCTCAAGCTCTTCAATATCATCTTGTGTGGGCAATGGTGAAGGTGATCCGCCAAGCCAATCTTCTATGCATATAAGTGCTTCCACAGATTTAGCAGTTAGGCGACTGCGATATTCATTGAGCACCCTTCCTCCGGTACTGAAGGCGGACTCAGATGCCACCGTTGAGATGGGTATAGCTAATAACTCTCTCGCAATGTTAGATAGGATTGGAAGTCGACTTGAATACACCTTCCACCAATTTAAGATATCAAAGTTAGGAATATCATCTTCTAATTCATCTTCTAGGTACTTTGTTAATTCAGATTTCACTCCACTTGGTTTGACACCACTTGATTGCAAAAATACCCCATAATAATAGTCGGGATTTCCAATTCGTCCAACTAATACGGGTGGTTCTGCAGAGTCACTTTTAGATCCACCTATCCCACCACCGTTATACTCCTCAAATATTGTTTTCAAATCTAATTCTAATTTATCCTTCAAGAAATCTGCCTCTTTTTTGAAAATTTTTTTTCCGATAAACCAACGAGCATACATCATTTTCTTCCTGGGATCTAACACAAAAGAAATTAACAACAACATGTTCAATTTCTCATGACTTCCCCAGTACTTATCATATTTCTCCTTCATCTTTAAAGCTATTTTTCTTGTATGAGCTAAAGATAGATCCTTAGACGAACACATGTCTTTTATAGCCAAACGAATTGAAAATACCTCTGCCAAGGACATATTACTTGTCACGTATGTTGAACCCGATATGCGCAAAGTGGAAGCCTTAAAAACTTCCAAAAATTGAGCGACCCCACGTGCCTTTTCCCAATCTAAAGGAGTAGGAATTCCGCTCCCACTCTCAAGTTCTTGACAATATTTTGTATCAATAATACCAAGCTCAACAAATGCAATTTCAAGTTGTAGAGCAACCTTCAACATGTCGTATGTTGAATTCCGTCGAGTCTCACAATCAAATTGAACACTACCTTTGTATTCAATCTGTCTACTTCTAACACATGCCAAAAACTTATGTTCTCGACCCGGAGAAGACTTAACATACTTAACAGCACCCCTGATTCTAGAAACAGAAATGTCAATTTCTTTTAAACCCTTTTTAACCACTAAATTCATGACATGTGCATAACATCTTGTATGAAAGTGATCTCCATTCAAAACCAAATCATTCCTTAACCTTAGCCTCTTTTTTAGATTTTTAATCCCACGATCATTTGACGCCGCATTATCAACAGTCACACTTAAAACATTATTCAACCCCCAATTGTCCAAGCATTTTGCAACTGTATTTGCTATTACTTCTCCTGAGTGACTTAAGACCCTAACAAAACTCAAAATCTTTTTGTGTAATTTCCAGTTGTTGTCTATAAAATGTGTTGTCATGCACATGTAAGTCATGTTTTGACATGATGTCCAACCATCTGTGGTCAAGCATACGCTTCGACAATGTTGGGAAAGAAAGCTCTTCAATTTTTCTCTTTCAAAATCCATAAAGCCAAAACATCACGTCCTGCTGTGCTTCGGGAGATTGGAATAAATCTTGGTTACAATACACTCATACAATGACGAAAAGCTTTATGATCTGCATGCATATACGGAAGCTCCATTTCTACAATCATATCAACCACGGCCTGCCTACATTTCTCTTGGTCAAATTTTCCTAACACAATTGCTGAAGGAGAAGTCACATTTGTTGTTGATGATGGAGTTGTTTTCAATCTCTTATTTGCTTCATTATTTGGGTTACTCTTACATATCTTTGAATGTCCGGTCATGGAAGTCGTTCCATTATTGGACTTTAACTTAGAGTCATAATAGTTGCATCTAGCTATTCCAATCAAATCTGGATCAGGAGTGAAGTGGTTCCAAATAGAAGATTTGTTTCTTCGATGGGGTGGTGCACGAGTAAAAGTAGTTCCCGAGTTTTGTGTTGTCTCATCCGTTGTAAGATTACTATGTTTGGGCATTTCCTGCTTTTGATAGAACAACCAAATGTTAAATTAATTCAAAGAAATAAGAAATTAATAAAAATTATGCAGAGATGTTAATAAAAATTACTAAAAGCATAGTGATTTCAAAATTAAACGGAGTAAAAGTATAGTCTATAACACCATAGAATATAACACCATAGAATAATAAAAGTAAAAGTAAAGTATCTTTCACAGTTGCTAATGCTTGGACAATTCTAAACACGGAGTAAAAGCAGTACAAAATGTTATAAAAATTTTGGAAGCTTGTCCAATTGCGTTTGTGTGTCGTTACCGTAATATTGATTATCAATAACACATTAGCATAATGAAATTAAACAGAACTCAGCAACAACACATCAATATTCATCAAGCTACTGTTGAAACTGATACATAATCGACAACAAGCAATTTCAACATTACAATACCAGTATAATATCAAACCAAAGCAGTGTAACCAAATCAAAAAGAATAAGAATACACACCTGCAACAAAATTATAATCAAGGTTATAATCCATAGTTGTATTCTATGAAGTCTTAAGATTTCTTTATACTAAGGCACAATTGAATTATAAGAAAGTGATTAATGAAACATTCCTAAATCAATCAGCCAAATGTATAAATTAGTCACCAATATACATAAAAGTTAAGACATTTAATATTACAATGCAATTGTAACTAGAATTAAAAGTTAAGATATTGAAGATTACAATGTAACTCTTCTAACCACTGAAATAAGAACATTCAGTAAATATTTGTCACAAAAGATGCATCCTAAAAAGAAAAAAATTCTCCAAAAGAAATGGCTATTGTTCTTATTTACTAGGTCTTCACCCAGTATTTTCAAATTAACCTCCCATCCACCAAGCAATATACAATATGATTCACAGTACTACAATAATTCATTTCATGTATTTAATTTCAATATCACAATAAATATAATTTCACAAAATATTAAATCGTATTTTAATCGCAATAAGAAATAGATTTTCTAGACCACATTGTATGTAGCATTTTGTTTACTTTTGTGATTTGTGTATGAAAATAACACATTAGCATAATGAAATTAAACAGAACTCAGCAGCAACATATCAATATGCATCAAGCTACTGTTGAAACTGATACATAATCGACAACAAGCAATTTCAACATTACAATACCAGTACAATATCAAACCAAAGCAGTGTAACCAAATCAAAAAGAATAAGAATACACACCTGCAACAAAATTATAATCGAAACTGATATGCATTGAAGTTGGGGATAATATTCAGTTTTAATAACTTAAGCATACAACATCCATAACAACATTGCTATGATTCTTTTATTGCCAGTCCAAAAGGAATAACATCCATATCATAGCTAACACAAACAAATTGTAACAAGACTGCGGCTAATAATCAAGTTATATCAATTTTACAGCAACATATCAATATAACGTTTGCTCATGAACACACAAATAGCCATATCTTAATCGTGAAGTAAACCAACATCGTACGACATCTAACACTTGAATTGAAATTCCAAAATTCACCCAATAAAAAAATTGAGTACAATAGTTTTTTTAGCAACGCAGGTGATATAAACTAGCTCAAAATCAACCCGCAAATCATATACGAGAAAACCAAATTGTAACAACTTAATAGAAAGCAATCCTAGCAACTATAGGACTAAGAACCGAAACTGAAAGAATGTAACAACAACACTACAAATATTCTTAAAAGAAACTCGAAATTACCAAAATGAAAAAACTAGCTTCTACGAGTTGCTGCTACTGCTGCACAAATGCTTGAGGATGCGTTGTTGCGTCGACCTCAATGTTGTCGTTACAATCTTATGCGCTGAAATGAATATAAATCCACCATAAGCAAATGAAACACAACCACCATTCTCTCAAACAACAATCATATCACTCTTCTGAACAAGAGGGAAACACAACCACCATTCTTTCAAACAACAATTATATCACTCATACCTTACAGAGAATGGGGCATCTTAACATCTAGAATACGCATAACAAAATAAAATATACGGCTCAAAAATAGAACAAAAGCAAGATTTTCCATTACTGAATAAAATAGCATTCATTTTACAATATTTAATAGGGATTCTTCCTCAAACACACAAAAATAACATCAACTAGCAACTAATAATCAAGGTTCTGCAATTCTTGATAATCGCAGTCAGAGACATCAAAATCCTTGATGTTATACGTGACAATCAGAAACATCAAAACCCTTGATGTTATATACGACGCTCAAAGACATCAATCGCAGACCTAATTTGAAACCATACTAATACTAAAAAGAAGAAAGAATACATCGATTGAGAATGATAAAGAGGAACAAAGAATACATCGATTGAGAGAGAAGAACTGAGACTCGTTTAGGTTAAAATTAGGGTTTCACAATGGGAATGGGATTGAGAGAGAAACACATTACCTTCGATCAGAGAGGAGAAAAGAAAATTGCAATTGGGTTTCTTCTGGATTTTTATTTGGTTGTGGTTATCCATTCAATTGGATGTGGGTGTCCAACTAATTTTAAAAATGGATTGGTTGAAAAACCAAAATAAAATTAACCGGTTTTTGAAAATCGGATTCGAATATGGTTATGGATAAACTATCAAACCGGTTAATTTGAGCATCTCTAGTTACGAGTATAAGATTTTCAGTTTTCAGTTATTTTAATATTGTAACTTGTGTCCTAATCCACTTGTAATTGTATATATACCTATACCCGACCCTACTGCAAGGCAAGTGAGGTCATTGCCTAGAGCCTCAATTTTTTTCACTTAGTACTAGTCATTATAGTATCAAATCGTGATTGAACTTTTACTTACTCAATTTTCATTACTATCCTCATTAATACTTGCGACTTTTGATTTCTATTAATTAATATTATTTGTAGACAATTATTTTCCTAAGGATGAATCCTCAAGATATTTTTCTTCTTCATTTTATATTAAAAAATTATCTAGCGGAGAAAAACGTGAAGAGTTGGTTGATATATTCTCAAGATTTAGATAAAGTATTTTGGTTTTGTTATAAATTGTTTAATACTCTTTCTAGTACAAGTAAATTAGCAAGTTGCGGTATTAATGATTGAAAAAATATGAGTTCTAAGTTAAGGAGTCATGAGATGAGTAATGAATCCATCGTTAATATGAGTTCATGGATTGATCTAAAAATGAGATTATTAAAAAATAAAACAATTGGCATACATGTTCAAGAACAAATAAGTAGAAATAAAGAACATTAGAGAAATATTTTATTTAGAATAATCGCAGTCGTTAAAACTCTTGAAAAAAACAACTTAGCCTTCCTAGGACAAATGAAAAGATTTACCAAGAACATAATGAAAATTTCTTAAGTCTTATCGAAATGATTGCTGAATTTGATCCTATAATATAAGAACACATTCATCGGATTAAAGATAAATAAATCCTTAATCAATACCTTTGGCATAAGATACAAAATGAATTAATAAGTTTAATAGCAAATAAATTTAAAAGAAAAATTATTCAAAAAATTAAAAATGCAAAGTATTTTTCGATTATACTTGATTGCACTCCTAATGTAAGTCATCAAGAGCAAATGAATTTTGTTTTACGATGTGTTGATATTTCTTCTACTCCAATATAAATTTTTGAATATTTTATAAAAAATTTAATAGTAAATGATACAACTGAAAAAGGTCTTTTTGATGCTATTGTAAATGAGATAAATATTATTAGACTCGGTATTAATAACCTAAAAGGACAAGGTTATGATAATGAGTCCAATATGAAAGGAAAACATCAAAGAGTGCAAAAAAGATTTTTAGACATTAATCCTGTTCCGGTATGGGCCTCACCTCGGCAGGCCCAATAACGCATGCGGCCCAACAAGCGAACCAAGCACGCGGGGCACGCGCCCTCCTAGACGAGCAGGGGCAGGCCGCCGAGCACAAGCTACGTCTCCACACCCCTTTTCTTGTCGTCCACCACGCCGGTCGAGCGGAACCACCCGGGCTCCCCTCCGCGGGGAGAATAACGTGCTCGGCGCACGTTCTCCACGTGCTCCCCTCCGCGGGGACACGTCATCGGCCAACTGCCCACCTCCGAAAGAGCAGGTCAAACTCACTTTCCGGAGATCTAGGAGCGGTTGAACTAGGGCGAAGACCACGTCCTGGTCTTCACTACGCCACGTAAGCCCTAGCAGTCATTAGGGTTGGGCCTGGTCGTCCAGCCCACCTCGAATGACCGTTGGCCCAGCGCTGGGGTCTCTCTATAAATACCCTCTTCTTCAAGAGGGTCAGGTAACTCTTCTTGCCCCTTTTTCTGTACTATTGCTTCCTCTCTGTCCAACTTCTTACTTGGGCGTCAGAGTGCTTTGCAGGTACACCCCCCTCCTCTTTCTCACCCCGGCGAACAGATAACAGCCCAACGGAGTGTGGCCAGTCCGTGATCCCTCCTGATCAGGTCAGATCAGTGGCGCCGTCTGTGGGAAACTGAAACTTCCCCGTTACTCCGAGCAGAAAACCAAAAGTTTCACCAAACCTCCACGGTCATGGCCAGCCCACGCCGCGATGACACTCCGCACGACCTTGCGCTCAACACCGCCACCAACGGGAAGCAGACAGGAACGGCGCGTCTGACGGAAGCCGACGAAAGGGACGGGCAAACTGCTTCACCATCATCCGAGGAACGACCCCTACAGGCCGACCACCGCCCCCCGAGCCCGTCAGCATTCCACCCCGTTCCCATCCCGGCGGGAGCAGACCCAACGATGGCCGCTCTCTTTACAGCCATCAACCAGACGAACCAGCTGCTGTTCCAACAAAATGCTAGAATTGGAGCATTGGAACGCGTCGGCCCCCCGAGGTACCCCCAGCGGGAAGACCAGAACGGAGGTTCGAGGAGCCCCTCACCTCGACTCAGGAACCGCCGGCCACGGCTGGAGAGACACCGCCCGCAGGCGACGCGGGAGCGCACCAGATCCCCGGCGAGACACGGTCGCG